TGACTCATGTCTCAAACAAGATGGATTAGGTCGAGTGACACATGACCCTCCAATAGTATCTGTTTGACATTTTAAAACTCTTTTGAGCTTTTCTAGAATCCAATCAAAATTATTTTCAATCCAATAAGAAATCTTGTGCTCTTTTGTTTATAATGTTTGTTCTAAAACTCAAGATAGAATTTAAATAGTTTATCAAATAACTTAAAGTATCAAACATTTTATGTTGAGAAATATCTTCCATACTCCAATCATGAATACCATGCATTTTAGGATAGGAAGGGAGCATACATTGATATCCTATGTTTGTGCTTATATTATACAATAGTTGAAAACATGTTTTCACAAAAGGAAACATATCGATAGTGAGTGATCAAACTAGTGACATGTAAATAATGATTGCGATAAGAGTGTGTTTTTATTAAGTGTAAGTCAACCATTCACGATCATACATGGTGCATGTGGGAACGCATTAGATCATGATGAAAATGTACCTATGTAACTTCATGGAAATGAGGAGAAAGAAACCAAAAATTAAAAATGAATAAAATGTTAGGTAAGATAAAACTATGAAACCAAATATAAATTATTTAGAGTTGCATAATTATAATTAAAATGTGATGAATTGATTTAGATGAGACCCACAAAAAAAATAAAAGATTAGTTGTATTATTGGAACTGCTCTTAGAGAAGTGACTTAATATAAAGGGTATCAATAGGGTATTAAAAAAAGAAAGTAAATTGGCATGCATCTGAAAAAATATTCTTCGACCTAAATTGGAATCTCTTCCGTTTGATGTCAAGTTTATTAAACTCTAAATTTCGTTTGACTTATTCATATAAATATACGAATATTGAGATTCCTAAAATCAAATAGGTTTCCTGTTTAGCCAACTAACATGTACCAATTAACAATCACAACCATGCATCTTTTTGAAGGGTTGTCAGCATAATATATACTATTTATATGTGTTCTATACATTCTATAAACTTATCAATAAAATATTATTGTGTTTTAAAAATATTTTCTTAGCTATTTATTTTATTTTAATTCCGAGTACAACAAAATTCTAGTACTTCTGCCAAGCTGACATGAGAAAACACTTTTTTTGAATAAAATAATTAATACAGATCACTTTCAATCAAGAATGATTTTGATTGGGAAAGTTTTTCATTTTCTTTAAGATGAAGGGCACGTGTATTCTCTTGTTTGAACTTCTTATACTGAGTTCTATTTTTACAAGAAATAGATTAAGGATAGAATTTCTATTATGTGTCTTCTGATCTAGCCAAAGGCCAACTGCACGTGAGATCAATATATTCAGCTCAACCATATAAAGTTTAATAAAATTTATTCTATTTTTTGATCTCATAATTTCATTTTATTTATTTTGGATTTTGTAATTGATTTAGTATTAAAGTGTTATTCTTATAGGTCTGTCCTACACCACCATATCAGAGATCTGCACATCGCGTTTGGAGTCCATCATCAGTCAAACAAAATTCTAAGATGAAACATTAGCGCCGTATGTGAAAATTGATTCCTAATTAAAGCTCATTTGATCCAAAGCCAAATCACGAAGAAATTGCATCTAAAGCTTATTTCATCTCCAACCTCGTGTAGAGAACTCCTCCTCTGAGTCTCCCGATCTAACTATCGATTTTGATGATTGATCTCACCTGAAAGAGAACCGAAAGAATCCATGAATCACTACTATCGCGGTCAAAGAAATAAACCTTTGTCGCGAATTCAAAATTCTTCCTTATCATCGCGATAAGCCAGACCACTTTAAAAGGCCCAATCTGCACCAGAAACTTGACCGATCCAAACATAACTCGAGATGAACATGAAAGTATATCTCCCATGCACAAGCTAAAGTGGAAGGATAAGAAAAATTTGTCAACCACCTACAAAGGGAGACATATCGGCCAATCTATTTCTACTGTCAGTCAAGTTGAACTGACATATACAACGACTCAATAACGAGGTCGAGGCACACTTGTCGCTAAAGAATCCAAGCTCAAAAAAGAATCCATGTAATCCACCTCGATATAGAATATAAAATATTAAAAAAAATACGGCGAGAATTAGAATACCAGATAAAGAAAGGTAGATAAATAAATATTGTTGTTCGTACAAGTTATAGGTAAACATTGGGGAACGACGATCAATACAAGTTATAAAGAAACAAAAATCATGCATCACCACCTTGAGGCTGAGCACCATCGTCCTCCACCAAAACTCCATCCTAGACCACCTTATGTCGGTCAAGAGCAGAGAACCTGGAAAATTCTTCTTGGATTCTTTTGGGTTCTCTTTTAAATAGGGTGAAATCTGGCGATAACGAGGGGATTGTCCCAGTCGCAACATTTTCTTTCGATCTTCCTAATTACAATCATCAAAATTGATAGTTAGATAGTGAGGCTCAAAGGAGAAGTTCTCTAACACGAGGCTGGGGATGAAATACGTTTTGGATGCAATTTATTCACGATCTGACTTTGGATCAAATGATCTTTGATCGTGGAATTTCTTGAGAATTAGGAGTCAATTTCTATGGGTGGCGCCAATGTTCCATCTTGGAACCAAAATTATGTTTAACTGGTGATGACAGACTCTAAACATGGTGGTGTTGATCTCTGATACAATGGCGCGGGGTAGACCTGCAAGAATAACACTCTAACGTCCAAGTCAGTTACAAAGTCCAAGATAAGTTGAAGTGAAATTATGAGATCAAAAAAGTATATCTTAAGTCTCATGTGTGTTGATTATATACGTTAAATGATTTATATTAAGCTTTCTATGGTTAAATTGAATATATGGATCTCACATGCATTTGGCCTTTGGTTGGCCCAGAACACGTAGAATAGAAAGTCACCCTTAATCCATTTATTGCAAAAATTAAACTCATTAGAAGAAGTCATATCCTTGCTATGTTGACCATAAACAAGAGTATACACACACCATTCATATTAAAGAAATGAAGAAGTTCCTTCAATTGATTGGCCACTTCAAAGGAACCATGCATCTCTTTGAGGGTTTGATTAAGCATTTCATTAGCCTCCTTCCTCAAGTTGTCCAACCGTCCTTCGTAAACTTCTTAGTCCTTCTCCCGAGATTCCTTCTCTCGTTGAAGAGCCTTCAGAGCCTTGTCTGTGTGACATGCCATCTTTACAGTGGCAGTTATAGCCTCCTCGTGAAACTTCCTCTCCACCTCTAGAAAATATTGAAGCTCCACATTCTTGGCATCATAAAAATGGAGGACCATGAACTTTCGCTTCCTCCCAAAGAGACTTTAACTTGTATAACTCTTGTTGAAGGGCTAGAAATTTATTTTAGAGTTGGGATCTCTCGTGATCAGCCGCCTCACATTTGACCTTCCACGTATCTATTTCCTTAGAGGGGTTATCCATGGCTAGAACCTCTCCCCATCCATCAATACCTATGTAGAATATAGAAGTCATTCGGTAAGTATATAAAGCATCCTAAAAAAAGTTTCATCTTCTACGTCTTAAGAAGGTTATGAATGTATGCAATATCTTCCTCAAACATTGAAACACATGCTTCTTGAGAAGTACGGGGAATCCAAAATAGAAGAATAGGCAGAAGCTTAAGTAGTGGTGTAGATGACTCGGGAAAAGTAACCATGGACAAGCCTGTTTAACCAAATCTCCCTTTAGAGGAGGACTTTGATCCCAGTCCATGTAGTTATTAATAGGAGGATACGAAGCCCGATCTTTAACACCTGCAACAACAACCTCAATAGAAGGCTGGTCACAACTAGAATAGACCAGAGGTATTTTAGTGGTAGCAGCTATACTAGAATCAACCTGAGGAGGAGTGAGGGCCCGGGCTGAAGAAGTAGTGGTGGGAGCTATAACTTCTCGTTCTTTAGAAATGTCAAAAACCTTCTTCAAGGAATACATTTTATCTGCAAATACTAAAACATCCCATGTTAAAAAAAGCCAATAAGGAGATAACTCTTTATCTTCGCCAAAAATCTCTTTCCTTTCCAGACTTATGGCCACTCCCAAAATAGAAATGGTGTCTATTGATTGCTTCCTTTACATGGAGAGGTTTACCTAAGAAGGGAAACCACCTTATTCATAACTGAGACCATCATAGGTAGTGTCAATGTATTAGTTCATATTAACCTCTTTGAGGTTAAGAGAATCCAAGGAGATGACATACTCGTGAGGCTCATGTTTTAAGTGAACCAAAACCCAATACTTTCAGAACCTATATGTATAAATATTAGGCGTAAAGGTTGGAAGCTGACATGGATGGGATGCCCATTAGGAACCTTTCGAAAGATAGGGGTGAACTCCCATAATGCAAGGCTTTACCAACACAAAATGATCCTGAAACTTGTCCTATTTCTCGACCCAAGTAACAAACTGAGGAACTTTTTGGTGCACTAAAATCAGTGCCTCATCCACAGATCGTATTCTGTGGAGTATGTACCACAAAAAAACAAAAGAATAACATATAGGAGGGCTTCCAAAACTGATAATAATCTCAAAGTTGGAACACCTTTATCAAAGTCAGAGTGTTTGGATGAAGCTAAAAGGGGACAATCTTCAAGAACTTCAACACCTCCACTTCAAACTCATATGAAAGTAACTACAAACTTATGAGTAAACATGCATTCATAGAAAGGAATAGAGCTACACCTGAAGCTATTAAACATCTTTTTTCCTAATTCCACAAGGAGAATTAAACAATCAGATGGACAACCTACTTCTAAATTAACCTCTTTCACAATTGTAGGATTATCTAAAGCAGATGGGGTTCCCAATATATCAGAATCCACCCACATATACTTGTCTGAATCAACCAGCTCCACAAGATCGATACTCCTTAGAGGTGTCTCGTTATCCCAAAAGATATATGATAGCTTAAGCCAATCGACACTAGTAGGTTAGGTCCCACGCGCAAGATGATCCTTAATCTCGATATCACTTGGATCCTTACCAAAGATGAAGTGGTAAGTTCTTATGAAAGTTCATGCCCCTTCCTTGTTCAAGGCAACAACTTCTGCCTCTAGTGAAATCAAATCAAGGAGAGTTGAATCCCCAATGGTTGTGAAGGTAGCAGGCACAAAACTAAGTGCATGATCACTTTTATAATTGTTATTAAAAAGGAGAGTGTTGAAGAAAAACTCATCAAGGAAAGTTTCTCTATCAAGAAAACCTTTACGGCTAAGTTCTATTAGACACATTTATAATGATTAGGGCAGAGTGACTATTAACTGAAAGGTGGGAATCTGAACTAGCAAATGTTTCTATTCTAATTAAAGGAGAAAATGTAACATCTATAAATTTCACCACATAAATAATTAAAAATTCAAAGTAAATTAAAACATTTTAAGAATTTAGGATGTCACTTCCAATCATCAAACATGCTCATGTAACAAGATACGTAACACATTTAAAACACAAACCACCTTTTTGTCATGTCTGAAACTCAATAGCTTTATTAGCAGCGGAACACGTCAATAACCATTAATCTTAACTCTTCAACATGAGTCATAATCATAATGATTCAAAACTAACATAAATAACCAAATAATCCCAACAAATGGAGTTACACATAAGTTTACTCTCAACATAAACAAAACAAACACAATTTCCTCAATGTTACGTATTAGAGCAGACATCGAATCAATCTACACAATACGATGCAATCTCCTCGACTAACCTCAATCCAGAGCTACTCTTGATTATCTGCACAATACCATGTAAAGCATCATTCCAACATAAGGGTGAGATTCTTAATCACATAAAGAATGCATAAATATATATAAACACATAATTATTAATCACCCATTCAATCATTAAGTCAAACCATACATAATAATGCTATAGGAAATCAATTCATTTGTTCACTTTAGCCAATCAACAATACAACATAGTATATTACGCAATGCAATGAGACTCAATATGCGACTCAATGTATATGGTACCATCGATTTATTAGAACCCACCAATTATTTCTCGTCTGAATTCGGGTACATCGCTCACACCCCATATGGGCACACGATCATCCCACTCTTCATCGCTCACATCCCACATGGATACACGACCAATCCTCATTGCTCACACCCATAAAAAGGAACAGGATGACACAATTCTTGATTAGAATCTGGGTATATCTCTCACATCCCACATGGGCATACGATAATCCCACAATTGTACATGTATGCATGACATATATGCAAATCATACCACAACAATAATATTCACATCGACCCTCACCATGGTCGGTGCACTTCGCCACTACGGGCCAACACATATCATCCACCTACCAAACATGAAGTAATAACAATCCATAGCTATATCATACATTCATATTGCGTTTACCATATTCCACATATCAACACAGCTCAATACATATAAAACACGGGTCCACGCGTCTAATAGTTGGAATCCTGGTAATAAAAATAATTTTATTAAAAATTACATTAAACTAAATTTCAAAAGATACGAACTATGAATCAATCGGACACCCAAAACAAAAGTTATGAATATTTGAAGTTTTTAAAATAATTTTGTCAAACTCAGTGGTAATTGGTTACCCCCAGACTCATAACCGGTTACACCCCCTGTAACCAAAACACATGCTTATGTCTTTTAACTGGTAACTGCTTACCCTCATACTGGTAACAAGTTACACCCCATGCAGAATCACTTTTCTGTTATTTTCTTGCTACGAAAATCACTTTTACAGACACTTAAACAACCCCAAACATCACACAATGCAAAATTCTAATTTCCATTTTCAACACCTATTCACATACATCATTAGCCACAGTCTATATCTCTCAAAACATGATTACACATAAATAAATCATACAATTGCAACATTAACATAACTTCGACACTGACCCACAAATTACACTAAAACACCAACAAAGATGATAATCATGGATGTTGATAATTACCCACCCATATGCATCATGCAATCCCTAGGCAATAGAAAACCCCACCCTTACCTTAATCGACATTATTCTAATAGCTCTAATGATGGTCTCTTAGCCCTAGCGTTTTCCCTCTTTCTCGTTTCTTATTCTCCCATAGCATGATCTCTTTGTTTTCCCTCTCAACTTTCTACGATTGCCTTAGCCAAAACAATTCTTCTTTTCCTTTATTTAGACTAATCTAACCCTTGGACCCCTATTCTCATATTCCTATTACGCACTTTCTCATGATAATAATTAAAATAATTATTTAATCCTCACTATAATTATTATTCTACTATTCCAATTTAAAAATAATAATAATAATTAAACAACACTCTCTCTCCTCACTCTCATGTTTCTACACTTTTGGTCGTACACCACCAATATCTTAATTTCTATATTTTCTAAGGTAATTACCCTTCACCAAGGTATCATAACACATAAAAAGACTCATCAACTCATATAAATACACGGCAACACATAATTATTTTATAAAAATTAATTCAATAAAGATCAGGGTGTTAAAACTCTCCCCCACTTAGAATATTTTTGTCCTTGAAAATTACCTAATGCGAACAGCTTCGAATTTGACTCTCTCATTCTACTCTCCAACTCCCACATCATATTTACTCCGGCATCTCCTCCCCAAACTACCTTCACGAGAGCGATTTCCTTGCCCCTTAATTTTTTCATCTCATAGTCTTCGATTCTCACAGGAAAGGTCTCAACCGTAAGGTTATCTCACACTTGCATGTTATCCATCAAAATCACATTAGATAGATATGAAATGTACTTTCAAAGATGCGAAACATGGAATACATCATGAAAATTTGAAATATTAGGTGGCAAGGCCACCATATTATCAACAATTTCCACCTTTTCTGAAATCTAATACGGGCCGATAAATCGAGGAGTAAGCTTCCTCGATTTCAAGGCGCATCCAAGACCAGTCAGTGGAGTGACTTTAAAAAATACATGGTCTCCTTCTTAAAGTTCAAGTTATTTTATTCTCTTATCATGGTAACTATTTTGCCTACTTGTTGACATGAAATTTTTGATTGGGATAATAAGCGTTGAGCTGTGGGGTTTATTTGGCTGAAAAGGCATGAGTTTGTTGAAAACAACAGGAGGCGTTAACCAAGTTAAAGGAAATAGACCATAAGAGCTGGTCAATGAAGACACTGGATTCGGGGGCGGCCATCGACATGCGTAGGGGTCGATGAGCAAATATATATGGTGGCGGGATCAATTATCGACACACTATCCAGTAAGAACGTGTGGAGGTTCAGAGCAGTTTTAGGACAGTTTCTCCACAAAGTCCCAACGTGGACTAGTAACTGTCGACGGTTACATACTTAGGATTTTTGATTAAGAAAATGTTTGTGTTTGTGTCAAGGGTCACATTTCTTCATATTTAGAGCGTTACACTCAAAGTACCTGCATCTAAGAGAGAAACGAGTTTCAGACTTAACAATGTATGAATGCTTCCACATTTAAATTCATAGCAATTACCAGTTTTCACTTTAAATTAAAAGTATTTTCTTTAATTTCTTTACTTTGCAATTGTCTTTATTTTGCCCTTTTATTCAATATCAACCAGTTTCAACCCAAAAACACTCAAAACAATAAGTCTAGGATTATTGTAGCCGATCCTGCAAGTAACCTTTAATAAGAGGCTTGTGATTGTTCCACGGAGAAAAAAATTGGCCTCACCAGGTGGGACACATTTATGTTTGAGTTTTCTTGTTTCGTGCATGAAATTAAGAAGTGGTCTTAAAATGGTAGCGACGACAAGTGTGGGTTCTAGTCCGATGGTTGTATCTTCGATGACACCTAATATAGTTACCACAACACAACCAGTAACTGCAAGACCACCAATGGTCACAACTTATGGGCATTATGTGCCTAGTTTTGCAAGAGAAACACATGATAAACGTGGGTTCAGTTAGAGAAATTTTTCCATGAAAAATTCCACATGGGGCAATCTACAATAAGCCTAATAGAAATTTCCAGTGTTAAACGAAAGAGAACTAAGTCAATAGACCAATACCTTAACAAGTTTAGACTTCTGAAAGTGCGGTGCTTTATACAAGTCCCTGAACACGAGTTGATCGAAATGACTGCAAATGGGTTAGAGTATTCCATTAGGAAGAAGTTGCTGGATACCAAGTGTTGCACCCCAAATTTTCCGTCCCATTTTCTTTAATAAAACATGCTCACAAAGGTCTCAAATACTCAAAGCTACTCAAGAGTTGACTGGTCAAACCTCCTCCTAAGCAAGGGTCTACAACTATGGTTTGGTACTTCTCAAAGAATATGGAGTTGCAAGGGTCTCAATTGACTTTCATGGTTCATCATAGGTCCTTAATAATGCTTATGTCAAGTTTCAAGTGTTGCATCACATGTTGGCTCAGTCAATGGCTCAAAAGATTGAAAATCAATTGTATTGGGTAAAAAGTTAACTATGGTCAACATACATTCAAACTTCAAGATTTTTTGTCAACATCAACATTTTAAGGTGATATTCATTATTTAATCAAGGGTTGATCATGATTCCTCAAGGAAAGCCCTCAAATCATCAAAGATTAAAAATTGCCAAATTAGGGTTTTGATTGAAGATGGCTGATCATTGACTTTTGGCCTAGTGCATGACCTAATGACTTAAATCATGATCTCAAGGGCTCAAATACAACATCTTGACCTAATTACATGGCTCAAGGCATTTCCAAAGATACAAGTGATTGATAGTTGAAGAATTAAATCAATTGATAAAAAGTCAACAGTCACACAAAAGTCAAACTTTGACTTTTTGGTCAACATTGGAATTCAAAAAATCAAGAATCATCAAAATATTCAAAATTATCAAGTTTGATTATCAAGAATAAAAAAAAGTCAACAAAAGTCAAAAGTTGGAAAATTTTCCAACACTTGGAAAAATTTCTAAGTGTTTTGTTCTTAACAAAGTCACTACTTTATGGCCATTTTCACTAAGATCCAAATTGATTCAAGGAAAATTTTCAACATGAAAGTTGTAGGGATTAATGAATTCTACAACTTTGTTACTGTGGGATGATCCTCAAAAAGTGCTTGAATTAAGAGATATGGGCCCATGAAGTTATGATATTTTTACCCAACACTTAGAAATATTTTTGATCAGTTTTTTATCTCAACTTCTTAGCCATTTTCACCAATTTCCCTTTTGTTTTAGCCAAAATGGTCAACATGAAAATTGAAGATCTTGATTCAAGCTTTCCAAAACATCCAAGAGTATGAAAAGACCATGTTTGAGCTGAGAGTTTCAAAGAGACAAAGTTGGGCATTTTTACTTGGATTATAAGTCATTTCTTTGAGGAAGATATAATTAAATCTCATAGCCATTCCTTGTGTAATACGGATGGAGAACTGACTTGGGTGTTTTGTGTTTTATCGCAATTGTTGCGGATAGCAAGAGTCGCCACCGAATTTTCTTTTATCCAATGAAGGAAAGGGTGAAAAGAACAGGAAAGACCTTTTGAGATATTTCTTGAGTTCGGGGGTAGGTTATGAAAAGGGAAGGTGTTAGCACTCTTTTCATCCATAGTTATCTACGGACTCTTAGTTGCTAGCTCACTTTGAAATTCTTTGTAAATGTGTTTAGTTTGGTGTAAGTTTTGAAAATATTTTGAAAACGCTTTTGTTTCGAAAAACTTTGTAATGATTCTCGTCTCTATAAGAATGTATACAAAGTGTTGGTTTTGAAAATAGTTCAAAGAGATGTTTGTTTTGGAAAGATGTCTTGAAAGTGTAAGTGTGAAGATAGTTTTATTTGTGAGCAAGCAACTATGAACGTTCTACCTACTCAAAAAGTCTTTGTTCTTTTCCTCCTCCTTTAGATAGTGTTATCTTACCATTAGTTGGTAAGCAACCATATCATTGGATGTGAAGGAACAGGCGTGGGTCATCATACTGTCATAGAAGTCAACATTGTATGATACCTTAACAATTTTCCGTAAGGGTCTAAGATCGTTTATCGAAGGAAACATTGAAGGATCATTGAGGGACTACGATCTTGTATTCGAGGGTCTTTGCTAAAGTATCCCACATTCGAGGGACATGACTGTTTACATTCAAGGCAACAAGTAGGGTATACTCTAG